TTATTATGATTGTAAATCTTCATGGGCTTTGGGGCCATACTTTGATTCTGCCTTCAGTGAGCAATTTATGAAATTTTTTTGCTGTACTTCAAAAAACAACTATTATAACATTTAACTGGAAATAAATTTGTGCTTTTAAAATATATAACTAAACTTAAATATAATTTTATTTAAGAGAAAATTACTACTAAATGCTTGCAAGATTTTCTATTCTTGCTAAAGTCACTGTGGCAAGTGGGTTTGAAATGTAACTCATTTGTTACTGGAGCCACTCATTGTTTATGTTTTTATAAGTAAGACTCTTAAGGTATCAAGAGATCACAATTAATATTTTTGCATAGTAATAGTATTACCCAGAGGAGGAACTCCACTGGATAGGTTGACCAAATGATTGACAATACTGTTTGTTAATAGTGACAATACCCACCAGAGGAAGATACACTTCTTACACATAATCCCCTGTACCCTCCTCACCCATGTGTTCTTTGCAGCATATATGGTCACAGACACTTGCCACACTTTTTCTTTTGTGTCATGCATTTGTTTTTGTTTTGAAATATTTTCAAGTTTACATAGAAGTTTCAAGTCCCACCATCCAGAGACTTCATTCAGGTTTTTTTTTATCTATCCCATTAATGTCATTTATAGCAAAGGGTCCAGTCCTGGATCATGCTTTGTATTTAGTTGTTTCATTTGAGTCTCCACCAAACCAGAACAAGTCCTCTCTTGACCTTCATGACCTTAACACTTTTGAGAAGTGTAGGGCTGTGACTTTGCAGAAGAGTCGCGCATTTGGGTTTGTTTGATGTTTCTTACAATTGAACTCAAGCTCTGCGTCTCCTGGCTACAAGATCGTAGCAGTGGTGCTGTGTTCATTGTGCTTTCAGCACATTGCATCAGGCAGTGTGTGGCATCAATTTGTCAGGTCACTGCTGATGTTAACATTCATCATTTGAATACACAGTATTTTTTTGGGTTTCTTTAGTATAAAGTTCTATTTTCCCCTTTACAATTAATAATTATTTTGTGGGAAGAGACTTTGAGGCTAAGTAAATATCCTATTTTTCACCCAGATTTCAACCACTAGTTTTAACATCCCTCAATGTCTCTTACCTGAATTAATTATTTTTGAAATGATTGTCAAGTGGTAATTTTTAAATTCTGCCATTTCTTCTGCATTTATAAGTGAGTTTTCTTCTGTAAGGAAAAGCTTTCCCGTCTCTTCATTCGTTTATTCACTCACTTATGTATATCACCATGGATACCTGGTCCATTCAATGAGATATAACATGTTGGTATCATTAGTCTTTTGATGATCAAATTGACTCAGTTTGGGATATAGGAAGCCCCATCCAGCTGGCTTCCCAAATGCCTCCATCGTGCTTTGAGCACGTGTGTACTTTCTGGTGCAACAAGATGTTTCAGGCTGATCTTGTACTTATGCCCCGGCTGGGATTCAGTCATTTCCTTGAGATGTCCTGGCTCCTGGTATTTAGAAGACAAAATCCGGACACTTGGTGCTACTGGGGTGTTGATGCTTGCGGACCCTTTCGGGCAACAGAGCTAGGAAGCGTATCTAGTTATATGCACACGTGGACACTTTCGGCTGGGATTCAGTCATTTCCTTGAGATGTCCTGGCTCCTGGTATTTAGAAGACAAAATCCAGACACTTGGTGCTACTGGGGTGTTGATGCTTGCGGACCCTTTTGGGCAACAGAGCTAGGAAGCGTATCTAGTTATATGCACACGTGGACACTTCAAAACACGCACGCATGCTTTTACTTCTGTGTTCATTTCTCTATGATCTAACTATTGAAAACCATGAATTCACTCTGGCGTATCCAGTTCCAATCAGACACCACAGGGCTCATGCTAGTTTTCCTCCTTTTCAAATTTGCAACTCCATTCTCTGACAGTGAGGCACATGACTCCAATTAGCCTCAGTGCATTAATTTATTTGACCAGTCTCCCCGTAGGCCGCAGCCTCCTGACTCCTCTCCTGGCCACAGACCTCATGCAGGCCCCCATGTTAAATCAGCTAAACCACTGGCCTTTGGTGTAAGTACTTTTCCCATGTTTGTTAGTTCATTTTTCATGTAACTGTCTTCTGTCTGTCTGTCTGTCTCTCTCTCCACACACACACCAGAGAAAGTATTACAGTATTGAACCCTTGACCTTAACAAGTGATATGACAGAAAAGCTTTGTGAATCCTGAAATTTGAGAATACCACTAAGCACGTGCTTTTCCTTGGAACTGCTACTGTAATTAAGATAAGGGAGTAATGCCCTGTGCTAAGCAGCACACACACACACACACACACACAACACTGGCAGTTTAATGCGTAGAGAGGCACTGACTGTTCTACCTCATGAGTGAGATATAATCATGAACTGATCTGATACAAATTGAATGGACTGTATCTTCAATTAGGAAAGAAGTTAAAGACAATAGTGAAAGAAATGGTTATTCTTCATTGCTTTCAGGATGTAAGTCCTCTTCACATTATGGCAATATTTAAATATGAGTTAATTATTCCTTATTAAGAATCATCAACATGATTACCCACAATACATTTTTTTTTTTGTCTTTTTTTGTGACCGGCATCGGATCACAACCCTCAGTGTCGCGCCCGTACCGGACCGGGACCGGCAACGGGATCGCAACCCTCGGTGTCGCGCCCGCACCTCGCTCAGCCAGTGAGCAGCTGGTCTGTATGTAGGATCTGAACCCTCGGCGGGAGCGCCGCCGCGCTCCCAAGCGGCGCACTGTAGCAGTGCGCCACCGGGCCGGCCCAACAATACATTTTTTTTAAATACTCTAAATTCTGGAATAGGTTTTGCAATTTTTGAAAAAAAATATGTGTAAGACTACTGGTTTTTCACAAAGGCAATTTCCTTTCTTCATAAAAATATCTGAAAGCGCAAGAGATTCACATGATACAAAGAAGATAAAAACCATATCAACAAATAATACAAAGGTTGCAAGGGATTTGCATAAGGCAAGTGATATTATGCAAATACCCAAGCCAAACCTTTACATTAACAGAGAACACCATCTATATACTTGCTGAAACAGGTATTGAAAAGCACAGTAGCCAGAAAACACATGGCATTGCCATATTGCTGTCAAAATCTGCGGTACGGCTTTGTGGGGAGTTTGTTCGTGGGCTCTGCCTTCCCTGTTTCTCGGATATATAGTTGTTGTTCAGTGGCACGTTGCTCTACTCTGTGTGCCAGTATTTGTGTGTGCATTACAGAGCATGGCGTGAATGAAGGATGTTTCTTATTACTGAAGCGTCTATGTTGATTCTTCATTGCTCAGCAGCTTGTGTCTTGATGATGGGAAAGTTTACTCCCTGAAACTTACACACCTCAATATATTTATGGGCCCTTCTTCTTTTGTGTTTATTCCTCCAGCTTCTTTACGAAATCGATGGCCTAAGAGAGCGCAGGTATCCTAAATACTGCAGGAGCACAATTAATGTGAGAAGTGTGATTGATGGCTGGGATTTAGAAGCTGCTCTCAGCCACAGAGTCGCGTTTACCTTTCAGACATACTAGCAATTAGAGTGTGGAGATTTTATACCTAGTGGTTCAGCTCATTAATTCAACAAGTGTAATAGATTCTTGGCATATTTGGATTGAACTTTAGGACAAATAGCAAGTGCCCTCAAGTATATTTTGCTTTGGGAGTAATTTGAATCCCTTGAGCTGTGTGGTTTGTGTGTGGAGCCTGATGTTTGCTAGTGAATCAGCTTAGCTGACCCTCCAGAGTCCCCAGCTCAGCACAGCACTGCTGTTCCCTTCTGGTAATTATGGTAACAGATGCAAGGAAAAGTACACACTTAGCAGCCATATTCTGAAATTTCAGGATTCATAAAGCTTTTCTGTCATATCACTTGTTAAGGTCAAGGGTCCAATACTGCAACGTTTTCTCTACTCTTACAATTCTAACCGAGGTTTTGAACTGGTGGATTATAGTTACGTTGGAAGTGATAAATTGTGATGTTGCTTTCTAGTTACTGGTTAGGCATTTTTTCTCCTTCCTTCTTCCCTTTTCTTTCTTCCTTCTCTTCCTCCCTCCCTCTCTCTTTCTCTGTCTGTCCCTTTCTTTTGTTTAATAAAGCTCTTGATCTCAAACCTGTGGTTTTATATTCCACAGAATCTTTTACCATCAATTCTCCTCCATTATTCTGTCAAAACAATATTTCCTTCATGGTGTAATCAATCTTCAGTGTACGTAGTTCAGTTTTAAAGAACCATGTGTATTCTCAGTGCTTTCATCTCTGTTCTTGTCTGGTGCTTGCCTTGGCTTCTGTTTCCATTGCCATATTTAATTGCAGCCTTAGTAAGCTGAGTTGTAATAGTATATATGACAAGAATCAGAAAGCTCTGGGCTGAAAATCAGCTCTGAAAACCACTGGCTGCATCCGTGTACCTAAAGCTGGGGGATAATAGTACCTATTTCACTGGTTTATGGTATGTATTGAAAGAAATAATGTATTATAGCACTCATTCCAAACCAGGCATACCATGAAAAAGGGATAAATGTTGGAATAGAAACTCTACAGGGACTGGGATCTTTGACTCATATTCACAAGTACCTAATACAGTGCCTGGCACACAGTAAGCACTCAATAAATGCGTGTTAGTGGTTGCTGTTGTTCTTATGCTGCTATAGCCCTCCCCTCAATGCTTCGAAAACTAAAGATAAATGGTGTGCCTGTAAAACACATAATAAGGAATCTGATACAGAGTCCTTGATTTAGCTAGAAATGTATTTAGTAGAGGCTCACCATTAGGCAAATGATTGGTTTAAGGCAACGTTCTTGGGAAAACATCTTCAGAAAGGCTAACGGTCTTCTGCTTTGTCTTCCCAGGCATCCTGTTTTCCCTGGTGGTGATGCTCTACACCATTAGGCAAATGATTGGTTTAAGGCAACGTTCTTGGGAAAACATCTTCAGAAAGGCTAAAGGTCTTCTGCTTTGTCTTTCCCAGGCATCCTGTTTTCCCTGGTGGTGATGCTGTATGTCATCTGGGTCCAGGCAGTGGCCGACATGGAGAGCTACAAAAACATGAAAATGAAAGACT